TAATCCTCCCGCGGATGATAATAATAATAGGCCTTAAGACTATCCCCAAAAATAATCCAGGGGTGCTAAATGGTCTTCCAGGATTAGTGCCTCCTTTTGATAATTACTTATTACCCAAGGCAAGGATTCATCGAGTACTTAAGTCTCCACTTAGCGAGATCTGAACCTCTTGGATAATGACGGCTTAAATGTATTTACTAAACAGTTTACGAGGTTCGAAGAGCTGTGAGGTGGTCTATAACAATAAAGTTGATGACGTATCACAGACTGAGCAGCCATGATTGAGGCAATACGTGCAGATCTCTTAAGTGGACACGGAAGTGCTCTATGAATCTTCACGGAGTAAATAACAGTTGATGAGCCGCCATGGTTGGGTAGGTGAGGTAAATAGCGAGATGAATGAGCACTGAACGATGATTGTATTGTGATCTTGGATCAGAGAGGGCGGAGTGTTGAGGAGGGTGAGATCCTCAGGACTTTGGCCCAAGAAGAGAGAAGGGGAAGAGACGTCTTGAGGGGTGGTTGGGGAGAGGGGGTTGAAGTGCTTGAATAGGGCAGTGTCGTAATCTGGGAGAGTAAGAAACATTAGTATTAAGCAACACAGAAGGCGTCTTAACCCACGATAGCCCGGATATAAAATTCGTATATATTTGAAACCTAATAATCTATTGCTAGACTATTGCTGGCAGCACATTCCACCTGTTAACAATCGTGTTTCTAGCTTGTACTTGCCCTGTATCTCTCCTCAGACTGTACAACTCCAGCTTGTACCCATTGTTGTGGGTCTAACATGTCATGTTTCTCAACGCTCCTTATATCCTCTGTCTTGCGTTTCCCAAAAGTGCAGATTAAAACTTAAAAGTATCTTCGCTGGCTAGTTGAGATACCATGTAGCATCCTTATCCTTCAGTATTTTATCTAGTTCATTGTGTCGTAGAAGGACCACACGTGCAAACGCCAGTCCAGACATATTACAGTTTGCTACACTTTACCTGGGAGCTTCTAGTTCGTCCGCACCCGCTAGACACGGAGGACAAGACTGATATGAACACAGTTCTGACACTGAACAGGTTAGAACTCGCAGCAATGGGTATATATAGTTTAATGAAGGCTTCAGGAGAGTACAGGTTGGAAATATGGGTAGGGGAGGCGTGATATGAGCTACCAGTGTATATTGCGAAGTAGTTTGTTTAAAAAATACATTAATCCGTACACTAGAAGGTGAAGGGACGACGACGTTTAGGTCCGTCCTGGACCATTCTGAAGTAGATCGTGACAGTCGACTTGAGAATGGTCCAGGACGGACCGAAACGCCGTCGTCCCTTCACCTTCTAGTGTGTGGTCTGGTCAACATACTTCAGCCACGGTGACTCATCGCCTGCGTTAATCCGTATATAAAAAAGTTTGAATATTAGTAAGTGGCTGTAAGTGTAATGACCTGCCATGGGTCCATTGTCAAGCTCAGGATTAATACAGCTGTCAACTTGTTTTGCGATACAGAATGCGATGCCAAGTGTTGGGTTGTGGTGACCAGGTTGTTGTGGTGACCAGCTTGTTGTGGCAGCACACTGGTCATCACTGCCGCCCGTCATTCCTCTTACTGCTTCATACTTACACAATGAAAACTACACAAGTTTACAACACTACAATGCGGACGATTGATAAAATCCCTCTGACAGTATTGACGTGATGACAATGCACAACATTGCAAGCCCTGGCAACACCAGCACGAGAGCCGAAGCCCTACATTACACGGACTTGTATAATGCTGTATAATGTTAGTCTGCTCCTCAATCACGGATGCAACCCTCTTCTCACAGCTTGACAAGCGTTAAGTTTTAAGTGGTCTTGTGTGACAAGGAGCGTTCGACCCCAACCCCACCCAACGCCGCCTCGTTGGTAGAGAGGAAACGTAATTTTTACGCCGCTTTTAATTTCACTAAAACATTCTCATTTTGACGCTGTGGTCGATATCATGGAGGTTGGGGGGTGTAGTAATCGTGAGAGGACGTTGTTGCTTGCAACATGCATGTGAAATATTATATTGCGAGTGCCGCGTAGTACCTTTATGGTCGTGTATGTTGACCGCTGACCTTGGTCACTCTTGTATATCTCTGGCGTCCTATTTTCTGTTGGTAATGGTGCCAGTGTGTCCACCAAGCGCGGGTTGGCGGGTGGTGGTGGTTGGCAGCGGCCTGGTAGCTGCTGGTAGTGGTGGTTGGCAGCGGCCTGGTGGTAGCTGCTGGTAGTGGTGGTGGTTGGCAGCGGCCTGGTGGTAGCTACTGGTAGTGGTGGTGGTTGGCAGCGGCCTGGTGGTAGCTACTGGTAGTGGTGGTGGTTGGCAGCGGCCTGGTGGTAGCTACTGGTAGTGGTGGTGGTTGGCAGCGGCCTGGTGGTAGCTACTGGTAGTGGTGGTGGTTTGGCAGCGGCCTGGTGGTAGCTACTGGTAGTGGTGGTGGTTGGCAGCGGCCTGGTGGTAGTTGCTGGTAGTGGTGGTGGTTGGCAGCGGCCTGGTGGTAGTTAGTGGTAGTGGTGGTAACAAGAGGAACGCTGCAGGGCGAGGCGTGAACTTTCTAGTATCCGCCTCGTGCCTTTGTTTACCTGGATAGTGGTGGGGTCATCAGCCGCCAGGAACGGCCCCTCCCTGTGTGGGCCTGTCCCCCCTCGCCGCCCCCCTCCCTGCGTGGGTCCGCCCCCCTCCCTCCTGCGTGGGCCCGTCCCCCGCCGCCGCCCCCCTCCCTTCATAGGCCCGTCCCCCGCCACCCCCCCCTCCCTGCGTGGGCCCGTCCCCCCCCCTCCTCCCTGCGTGGGCCCGTCCCCCCCCCTCCTCCCTGCGTGGGTCCATCCCTCCCTGCGTGGGCCCGTCCCCCGCCACCCCCCCCTCCCTGCGTGGGCCCGTCCCCCCCTCCTCCCTGCGTGGGCCCGTCCCCCCCCCCTCCTCCCTGCGTGGGCCCGTCCCCCCCCCCTCCTCCCTGCGTGGGTCCGTCCCCCCCCCCTCCTCCCTGCGTGGGTCCATCCCTCCCTGCGTGGGCCCGTCCCCCGCCACCCCCCCCCCTCCCTGCGTGGGCCCGTCCCCCCCTCCTCCCTGCGTGGGCCCGTCCCCCGCCGCCGCCCCCCTCCCTGCGTGGGTCCGTCTCCCCCCCCCTTCCCTGCGTGGGCCCGTCCCTAAAAATAGACGTGAAAATCTATTGTCATCACAGAATGCATTAAAATTGGTTTATTTACATGTTGTAGGATGTGATGGGAACTACAGGAATGCTCGCCACCTGGCTCCTCCCGCTTGCTCTCATGACTCTCAAATTTCCCTGCTCATTAAAGCGCCGGAGCTCCGTGTAAACGCCGTTCCTAACCAGGCCATTTGACCTCTCCTCCAGAGCGCCGAGCCCAACAACCCGCACACCAACACACAGGTCATTCGCTCCTCTGACTATGCCGTGGCAATTTGTCTAGTGTCTAGTTTTTCCCGTAAAACTGTACGGGGGAGGGGGGTGGCTCCGAGGGGAGGGGGGTGGCTCCGAGGGGGAGGGGGGTGGCTCCGAGGGGAGGGGGGTGGCTCCGAGGGGAAGGGGTGGCTCCGAGGGGAGGGGGAGCAAAAGTTGTCGAATTGCTTTGGGTGGGACGTGGGCGGAATGTGGCGTGATGAGCAGAGTTGCTGTGGACAAAATAACACTATTTGTAAATGCCATCTTATTCCGGGAAATGTGGTGGCGGGGGGGAGGGTTGTAGGGTGGTTGTGGTATGGGGGAGGGTTGTATGGTGGTGTTGGGGATGGTTGTGTGATGGTGGCGGTGCCAGAGTGGGGGGGGGGGAGGAGGGGTGTGTTGTTGACTACGGGTGTAGCCAAGAAAGGTTTGGTAAAGCAAGTGCTAGACATGGTTGTCATTGTTGGTGGAGGGGGGGGGGACTGCTGGTGGAGGCGGTGGTGGCAGTTAGGGGTAATTTTGTGGAATAGTTTGTGCTTGTTAAGGTTAGTTATGGGGGAGGAGGTGCCAGGGTGCCAAGACGGACCACGGGGCAGGAGAGGAGGACGTGTTGAACAAAGACTTGGGATACAATGGGTGTGAATCACATGTCTGCCAACACACCGCCATGACTGGACCAGGTTGGTTAGGTTGCATGTGCCCGACCCCCCTCCTCCCCCCACCCCCGCTATCCCTCCCCCACCCCCGCTACCCCTTCCAACCCCCGCTACCCCTTCCAACCCCCGCTACCCCTCCCCCAACAACCACACCCCCACTACTACTAAACATTACCACATCACACACTGGTGAGAATGGCTTGCCTTACCATCATTCCCAGCGCCACACCCCCCACTTGGTCCTATGGATGACTACTGAGTGCTTAAGTGGATCAGTAGGTGAAGTGAAGGTTTAATGTTTGTAGGCCGTGATAAAGGATCAAGCGGAGTGATCAACACAAAATGACGATACAAGAAATAAACAAAGGTTGTAGGGGTGGGATTGGGGGGGGGGGACACCATGTGAATAACTCTAGGGTGTGGAAGTTGAGTGTTTCACTACACCCACACCTTGTCCACCACCCTTCATCAAGGGTACACCTTAATGCCTCAAGTGAACAGTGTACATAGTGTTTCCTGCGTGTACATCCAACGGCACATTCACTACCCTCCTCCACTACTCCCCTACTTCAGTACCCTTCCTCAACCTCTCATTCTTCCCCCTCCTCCTCCTCCCCTCTCCCACCACTACCACTACCTCCCCCTACACTTGCACCCCCCACCACTACCACCCCTACACTTGCACCCCCCACCACCCCTACACTTACCCCCCCCCCCTACACTTACTCTACTACTCACGTCCCCTCCAATGCCTGGTACTCGCCTACCTTTATGCCGGTGACTGATGTTTACACGTGGTGATCCTTGAGCATGTGGTGATGGGGGGAGGAGGTTGTGTGTGTTGGGGGCATTAAATACTGAGCAATATGTGATTATAACATCCACCATCTTGTTTGAGAACATCCACGATTGTCACTAATAGCAGTTCTGTCCCCTGTCCCAGGTACGTGAGGTGGTCATGCCGCTAATTGACGGGGTCGTCTCCCACTTGATTGACCAGGTGAGGTTGGTGGCTGTGTGTACAGGTGGGTGTGGTGGTGGCGGCGGCGAGTCCCCTCTCTCTCTCTCTTACTCCTTTCTCTTTTCTCTTCTTTCTTCTTATTTCTTTCTCTCTTCTTTCTCTCTCTTCTCTCTCTCTCCTCTTCTTTCTCTTCTCTCTCTCTTCTTTCTCTCTTGTTTCTTCTCCTCTCTCTCTCTTTCTCTCCCTTGTTTCATAGACTACGCCCCCACTCAGTTCCACAGTCACAATGTAGTTTTGTAAGTAATGAGCTGAATATAAAACAATTACAATGTGTTATTTATTTTAATTTTTAATAAATGTTAGCATACAAAAGCATGTTAATTAGTACACTTGGGAACCCTGTTTTTAGACGTTCTTTATATCACGGTTGATGTTTGTGAGGCCGGGGGAGGGGGGAGTCTTGGGGGGAGGGGGGAGTCTTAGGGGGAGGGGGGGAGGGGGGTGTTTGTGGTAGGAGAGCCGGTGGGGATACGAGAAGTGGATTGTTGTTGGTTGACAGGATGAGGTGGGTGAGGCTTGGTGAGGTTGATGATAGGTGGGAGCGATGGTTGTAGGTAGTGGTGGTTGGGGTAGTGGTGGTGGGGGGGGGGAGTAGCAGCAGCGAGGGGTGAATGTGATAGCATCAACAATATGCTAAATTTTTATCACTAGAGAGAGAGAATGAATGAGAATGAGAACGTAAATTAAAACAAGAACGACGTGTTCATTATATGTGAAGAAAAATGTCTCAAAACAGCTTGAATGCCTCATCTTATCCCAAGAAAAGTACGTAGAAAAATAATAACGCTATGATCCGGATAAATCTACAATTATCATATCAAATCTAAGAGGCAGAGAGCAAAAGGCTTATCAGTGAAGTAGAGATAAACCCAAAATACGTTTTGCTCCTGTACATCATCAAGAACAAAAGCTACATCTAATATTGTCGCCTTACGCTTGAAATGGAACTTTCACAGATGACAAAGAAATGAGTTAAATGTTGAGGATACAGTAAGACTGCTTTTGTTAATCCACGGAACACACCGACGGTTGGTGACCCAAGCGAGGTAATGAATGTGGTATCAATATTATCAAACAATATATCAATATCACCTTAAACCCACTGGACTTTGAAATTGCCTTAGACAACATACCCATGCACTCTGCATCAGGTCCAGATTTTTGGAATATTATAATAAAGAAATTAAAAAACAAAAAATATCATTCCCTAACATTATTTAAAGACAGAGGTTAGATACTGGCGTTTCTGTAACATAAAACAGCATAGATCGCGACACTTCCAAAAGGAGGTAATAAAGTAGATGCAACAATTTGTAGCCCAATAGAATTAGAGACCATCATAACATTTTTGGAATGCTAAAAAGTAAGATAACAAAACACATGAAATCAGTTTGTAAGTAAACCTTGAAAACCGTGGGTTTAAAATAGGACGCTCCTATTTAATGTTTTTCCAATTGGTAGACCACTCTGACATAGCCCGGGCTGCCATGGAAGACAAACAAATAGCTGATGCTATGTACACACTTGTGTAAACTTTCAAGAGGGGCGACCGTGGTGGTGGTGCGCACACAACGCGCTCAAAAGGAATTACCGGAAAAATTGGCAGATGGGTCTACAATTTGCTAACAGAACCCAGTGTGTAATAGTGAACAAAATCAATTCTGGACCATCCACCGTGAAAACCCGAGTCCGTGAAGGTACACTCCTTGGTCCAGTACTTTTGTCATCCTGATATCGGACGGAGAAAATGATACATGCTATAATACCAAATCATCATTTATAGAAGACACTGTGATTTTTGAGAGTAGACACAGCAAACCTCCAAACTGATTAAATCAGGTCTTTCAATATGCCACATCAAAAAACATAGTTTAATAAAGGTAAATTCCAGCTCCTTCACTATGGTAAAAGGTAAAATTTTAAACCCCCACAACAGTCAAATCACACTATAGAAAGCCACGGCAATATACAAGATTTGGAATTATGTCGGAGGATCTTACTGTTAAACAACGCAATAAAGTATGTCACAACTACGAGGAAAATGACAGGTTAGATTACAAGACTCTTTCAAACAAGAGATGCCGGGTGAGGCATGATACTTTGGTAGTGTATCATGCTAGTGCTCTCTAGAGTGGAATATTGTTACACACAGACACAGTGTCATTTATAGGTGGAGATATTGCTGACCTGGAGAACACGAGGGATGCATCCTGTGCATGGCGGGGTGTGGGGGAGGGGGTGGGGGTAGGGGGAGCCCACCGGAGGGGCGAGGAGCGTGCTCAAGTGTGAGCCTCGCCATGGTTGTGAGGGGTGAGGGGAGAGGTGGTTCACACGGGGCTGAGGACGGTAGAGGGGCAGATGAATGCAGGTGGCACAAGAGGCGGGAACACGTCGTCAGTGGTATGCGAGTGTGTCATCGTCACATGGAGGTAAGACAGTTTGGTGCTCTATCATTCCCGTCACAAGTAAACACAACCTACTTTACGATGGTGACCACGACACTAAAGTAGAGGTGTGAGCTTACATACATCCAGCCTGGTTATTACTTGAGGACATCACATTTAAGGATTAATTTGGGAACAGTATTAGTGAACGTGACAATCTGGATATTGAGAGGTGTAGCGCGGTGATACGGGATCAGTAAGTGAAGCTACCGTGGCTAGTAACTGATAACTGTAGTTGGGTAAGTGAGTTGGCAAGGCGGAGCAGCTTGGGGCGAGGTCTGTGTGCACATGATCTGGAAGACTTGTGCTTGGAGCGGCTCCCGCATCTTTTTCAAGCCGGCAGAGTCCTTACTTCCTGCAAGAACTTTTCCTGTTGTTTCTTGAACACGTTCACTTGCGTTCCCGGAATACAGTACTTCATGTATTCATACAGTGCTCTGATTGTACCTATGGAGAGTGTATATATGTATACTCTGCAGCAGGTCTATTCTGCATTGTCTACTATATCTTTCGCTCCAATAAGATTGATTGTACTTATGAAGCTTTACATTTACGGTCCAAATGACTGGAAGGCCGCCAGTTGTAAATGTCACTTTAGTGAAGGTTATCATTGGATACATCTCTACCCGTTTCTCACCATAGTGTACAACACGAGGCTCCGTGTGTGATAAGGTAGTAACCTGTGAAGTTGCTTACCACCACCTCCAGGAGCGAGGCTCCTGCCATGGGAGATAAGCCTCCCAGGGCAAGTGCGACTGGCTGCCCCCCCTCCCCCCCGCCAGGTGAAGGGAAGAGGGTGTACTCCTGCCTGGGGTAAGGTGATGGGGTGGGTGGAGGGGGGGAGCCACGCCTACCCAACACAAGGTGGGGGATGGTTGTGGCACGCACCCGCCCGCCCAACACAACACCTTCCTAGGAGACAGTGGGACGACCTCTTGACCCCAGGAAGCTTTATCAGGTTTATCCAAGAGACATAGTGGTGAAGTGCACAGCGCTTTGTGAGGGGTGATGCCTCCCTCCCTCCCTCCCTCCCCGCCCCCCCCTGCCTCAACACCCGCCCCCCGCCTCTCCCCTACCCCCAACCTCACCCCCCTCCCTGCCCTACCTCGCTCTCGGTCGAGACGAGCTTCCCCGGTAAACTCCAGTAACCCAGTAAACTCTCGCTAGATTTTTTGTGTGTGCGCGGACCGTTCCTTGGTTGACGGGGACATTGGAGGGGGAGTTTACAAGGAAGGGGTTCCAGGACTTCTAGGAAGGGTGAAGGCGTGGGGAGGGGAGGGGGGGGCTAATGAGGAGGCTGCTTGTATAGGCGTTGTGAAGGGCTGGTTGTGTGGGTATGGTGAGCGGCGTGGTTGTGAGGGCGTGGTTGTGAGGGCGTGGTAATGGAAGGTGCTGGTAAGGGCACGGTGGTGTTGAGGGGCGGGGTGAGGGGAGGGATGGCTGGTGCTCTGGTAGCGGCGGGTGTCCCCTCAGATTACATTAGCATATCACTCTGCCTCCACCTGAGCCCCAGGGACAGTGAGGGGGAGTGAAAAAGGGGAGGTGCTGGTTGGGGAGGGGATGGTTGGGGAGGTGCTGGTTGGGGAGGTGCTGGTTGGGGAGGGGATGGTTGGGGAGGGGATTGGTTGGTTGGGGCAGGGTAGGCAGGATTTTGGGGAGCGAAAGGTGGCGAGGGTATTGGGGAAAGGAGGGCAAGGCGGAAGTATTTTTGGGGGGTAGGTGGGGAGGGGGGGAGTGAGGGGAGGGGGTGGGGGGGACTTGTAAGGTGTTTCATGGCCGGAAGTTAGTTCTAATGTTCCGACTTTAGCTTATCAGCATTTGCATCTTTTAAAGACTGGAGTAAGTGTTACCCACATCTGCTACTCCTCTTTACTCGAGTGTTCTGCTGTTCTTTGAACATTTTCTGGTCGTTCCCGTTATTACCTTATCTTATCCGGTCTGTTCATTCGTGCCAGTTTTAGATTTTGTCCGGGGGTGTATGGTGAGTGTGGTGTAGGTGGAGTATGTGGGGGGGTTGGCATGTCTGTCTGTGGCTCTCTGGGGAGATCTTACTGATGCCTTGTATAAAGACGGAGTGTATATCCCGCGCCAGACACGCATCAATCCCAATACCTTCCTCTCATTTGTTTCTATAACATTTTCAACGCGATTCGGCTCTGTGTGTGTGTGTGTGTGTGTGTGTGTGTGTGTGTGTGTGTGTGTGTGTGTGTGTGTGTGTGTGTGTGTGTGTGTGTGTGTGTGTGGCGCTATTTGGTCAAGCGTCCGTTGATCTGGGAATAGATACGAGAGTATTGGCTAGGGAGAGGGCTAGAGGAAGTGTTTCACACGATAACCCTCATGAGTGCTTGCTATCCTCAGAGGCGCCAGTGATGGCATACTAATATATAACTAGCTATAAAATTTAAAATATATATAACGATGAGGTTGGTGATAGCTGGAGTTTGATAGCTTTAAAGGCGCCCCGGAAGACCAGCTCTCACTGCGTTCCTTCACTTTATTTATTATTGCTTTATTGGATGGGTCCGTGAGGGTTACATTCCTTAATATGGACTCTACTGGACCCCCTACCTCACTCTGGGTCTGGACTGTGGGGGGGGGGGCTGGACTGTGGGAAGGGGGGAGGGTCTGGACTGTGGGGGAGGGGGGTCTGGACTGTAGGAAGGGGGGGGGGGGTGTGGACTGTGGGAAGGGGGAAGGGTCTGGACTGTGGGGGAGGGGGGTCTGGACTGTGGGAAGGGGGGGGGTTGTGGACTGTGGGAAGGGGGAAGGGTCTGGACTGTGGGGGAGGGGGGTGTGGACTGTGGGAAGGGGGGGGGGTGTGGACTGTGGGAAGGGGGGGGGTGTGGACTGTGGGAAGGGGGGGGGGTGTGGACTGTGGGAAGGGGGGGGGTGTGGACTGGAATGTTGTTTAGGGTGGCGCCTGTCTCGAGGGGAAGGAATACGATGGGCACTACCTGACACTTTATGTTGTGGACTTCACTGCAGCAGGAGACCCTTGGGACTCTCCTGCACGCCAGAGACCTTGCCTGCCGCGCCTTGCCTGCCGCGCCTTGCCTGCCGCGCCTTGCCTGCCGCGCCTTGCCTGCCGCGCCTTGCCTGCCGCGCCTTGCCTGCCGCGCCTTGCCTGCCGCGCCTTGCCTGCCGCGCCTTGCCTGCCGCGCCTTGCCTGCCGCGCCTCGCCTGCCGCGCCTCGCCTGCCGCGCCTCGCCTGCCGCGCCTCCTTTGGCTTAAATTTTCCATTGGCTAGCGTCAGGTATTTGTAGGCAGTTAGTGGTGGAAGCTCAAATGGGAGGGCGTAAGGGGTTGGTGCTCGTTTGAGTTTATTGTTTCTATTTGTTATTTATGCCTGCACGATCGAGCTGCTGGCTCGTGTACCCCGCCTTCCTCACCTCGGGTGTACCCCGCCTTCCTCACCTCGGGTGTACCCCGCCTTCCTCACCTCGGGTGTACCCCGCCTTCCTCACCTCGGGTGTACCCCGCCTTCCTCACCTCTGGTGTACCCCGCCTTCCTCACCTCTGGTGTACCCCGCCTTCCTCACCTCGGGTGTACCCCGCCTTCCTCACCTCGGGTGTACCCCGCCTTCCTCACCTCGGGTGTCTAATGCACACACTCACAACTTATTTTTTTCAACAATATTTGCTACATATCTTGCCGACACACACCCTGGATGCTGCCCACAACAGGTGCATGGCTCACGGGTACCTATTTTCTGTTGAGACACGGAGGCATCACGTGAGAGAGACTGTTTGCTCTTGTCTCGGCTGGAATTTGTTTTTTTTATGTACTCGTCTAGTTGTGCTTGCGGGGGTTGAGCTCTGGCTCTTTGGTCCCGCCTCTCAACTGTCAATCAACTGATGTACAGATTCCTGAGCCTATTGGCTCAGAAACTATATCTTCTGTTCATTCGTTCATTGACACACCTATTTGTGTGGGCGTGTATGCGTCTCAACTTCGTTCCTTCATTATTTTGTATGTAATGATCATAGTTCTGCTGGATCTTGTCTAGGGTTGTGAGGGCCCATAACATATCCTCGTAGCTCAGTTGTCTCAATTCAACTCGATACTCAATTCAAGTATTGTAACTATAATTTGTATACCTCAAAAAGTGGGCATTCCATGCTGGTGCTGCATACTCCAGTACAGCCCGACATGCGGCTGGGTTTCAGCAGCTTCCCACGTTGTGGAGTTTTGTTTACATTAGTGTGTGGGGGGGGGGAGGAGAGGAGTGTGTATCCAGATGTGTGGGAGAGGGGGATTGGTTGGCGATATCCTTGTTTGTAGGGGGCGTGGCAAAGGGTATCCAGGTGTGTAAGGTATAGGGGGTATCAAAGTATGTGTGTAGGGGGGGCGGATACCCAGGTGTTTAAGGGGCGCATGTAGCGCGCTGGCAAGACTTGTGGGCATGCGGTGCCCTGGCGCTGAGCTGTGTGGTGGTGGGGGGGGGCACCACTGTTGTGTGTAGCTGCACGGATGAAATATTCACTAGGAATTCATTGATCCACTCCGGCTTCATACATGTTCCTGGAGCAGGCAGCCAGCCAGCTGGGTCGGTTGTGGGCGTTCCTTGTAGGCGTGGTCAAGTTTGATGGGCGTGGCAGCGGTGTAACCCCGCCCTTGTTGGGTGGTGGCGGCGGTAGGAGTGCCAGGCGATCCCCACACCCACTCTGCCCTGTGGCACTCTTACTCACCTGGGAGCCCGCGCTCCAGGTGTACCTCGCCCCCTCCCCCCCCCCCACCACCACCACCACCCCAATACCATACCCCTCCATTTGTATACTGGGTGGTAGGGGAGAGGTGAGGACGGGAGCAGTAGTACCACTGTGGGAGTAGTACCACTGTGGGAGAGTGTGGGTACGGAGGTGTGGCACTGGAGGGGGGGGGTGAGGTGCGTGCCGCTAAGGTGAGGTGGCGAGGAGGAGGTCTTTAACCCTTGTGGCCTTGAACCCCGTCCCCCCTCACCCTTGTGGCCTTGAACCCCGTCCCCCCTCACCTTTGTGGCCCTGAACCTCGTCCCCCCTCACCTTTGTGGCCCTGAACCTCGTCCCCCCTCACCTTTGTGGCCCTGAACCCCGTCCCCCCCTCACCCTCGTGGCCCTGATTCCCGTCCCCCCTCACCCTTGTGACTCTGAACCCCGTCCCCCCTCACCCTTGTGACTCTGAACCCCGTCCCCCCCCTCACCCTTGTGGCCTTGAACCCCGTCCCCCCCTCACCCTCGTGGCCCTGATTCCCGTCCCCCCTCACCCTTGTGACTCTGAACCCCGTCCCCCCTCACCCTTGTGGCCTTGAACCCCGTCCCCCCTCACCTTTGTGGCCCTGAACCTCGTCCCCCCTCACCTCTGTGGCCCTGAACCCCGTCCCCCCCCTCACCCTTGTAGCCTTGAACCCCGTCCCCCCCTCACCCTTGTAGCCTTGAACCCCGCCCCCCCCCTTCACCCTTGTGGCCTTGAACCCCGCCCCCCCCCCTTTCACCCTTGTGGCTCCTCACCCCGTCCCCACCTCACCCTTGTGGTCTTGAACCCAGTCCCCCCCCCCTCACCCTTGTGGCCTTGAAGGATAAAGTGCATGTACTGGTAAATAAAGTGATCACTGTTCCAACAATACTTAGCGTGCTCTTCTTAAGACTAGATTGTTAACCTTTGGTTTTACTGAATATATTTAGGCTTGTGTATGAGGGCACCTTTGTGATCATAATGTGGCACTGGGCAAGTGTTCCCGGACACTGCTGCTCCGGGGACACTTGCAGGAGCTTGGTGTCACAGGCCAGGGTAGTACCCAAGAGGGTGTTAACATCTGTGTACACTACGCAAGGATTTATAATGTATACATTGTCCAGGACGATACCAGGAGTTAATGACGATCTTCTCAGGATGTAGAATGCTTGGAACTCGTATAGGGGTCGGGGTGTAGGGGCGAGAGGGCCAGGGTTGGTGAAGCCAGTAACGTCTACACGAAGCAGGATCACACTGGCAGGAAATTATCTTCCGGTATGCCGCTGTCCCATCCCCCACACACGAACCCTTCCCCCTTCCTTAAAATCTCCTTTCCCGCCATCCATAAAGTGGGGGTTAAATGTTGATGTGGTCATACTGTAGGGGAGATGGTAGGAGGAAATTTGTGGAAGAATGAGATGGAAAAGAGGCGTGTCTCTCGGCACAGACCTTGTATTTGTGCATCGGTAGTAAGTTAAGTATGACTGGATGTGTCCGTAGACTTCCACCTTCAGTTCGCCCCGCTCCTAAGGTCCATATGTTTGGCCAACTGTTCCTGCCCCTCAGGCACTTAAGTGATGGGTGGTGTGTTGTGCTTCGGGAAGACGGGTGCACTTGCACGCACCACGGAGGAATGTGGGGGGGGGGAGAGGTGGGTGTACCTGCAGTTGGTAGAAGGTGCGAGTAATAGCAAGATAGGTGTACGTATTCGTACACCAAAGGAGGATATTAACTACTCCAGCTCGTACATGTTCGAGTATTTAAAGAACACTTGGCAAACAAATGTAAATACTTTACTAGCAATAAATTGCATTAAGTAGACTAGTAGTATGTACCGACGGCTGAAAATACTTTGGCTAGTTAGAGTTAAGCGGAGCTCCCTACTGGAGTTCCTGTCTCATGGTGATACAGCTCCTGTCTCCACCTCGCTATCCACATATTAGTATTAGAACACATTAGTATATATGCTACTCTGTACCCTAAGGTGCCAATTAGCGAAGGCCAACATTGGAAAACTGATGGAATTTCTCTCCCAGGAATGTGTATATTCTCCATATACGGTTGGCGATAGTGATAGTGCGGTTGGCACTATCTTAATAATTGTTATCGGGCGAGCACCAAAGGTCAGATATCCTTAAGCGAGTGACCCAGAGCCCACAGCTGACCCTGGGAATGAGAGGAGGAACTATAACAGGTGGGGGGGGGGGGGAGCAAATAGTAGTAAACCTTGAATAATTATAATTAATCCTGTGGAAGTGCTTAGACTTGTGCGGAAGAATCTATTGGAAGACAGACCTTAAGCTGAACAGCAACTTCTACTTGATTTCCCTTTAGCAAAATGTACTGACACTATTTGGAAGCAAGTTGAAGGATAATAGTTTAGTGTGAGGAGGCGGTGAGATGGGGAGGGAGGGAGGGAGGGATAGTGACACCATTTAATGATGGAGAGTATGGTTGGACACGGTGCAGGGGAGGGAGGGGGGTCACGGATGGCCTCGTGAAGCCTCTTGGAAACAGTTAAGGCATGAGTGACACCTTCCAACCCTAGGTGGCTGGTATTGGTGCCGTGTTGATGAAGGGTATCCACTAGTGCAGGTGTTCATCATTGTGTAGGGTGTACACATGTTCATGTACTTCTCATTACAGGGGGTGTACGGGTGTTTAAATGTTCATATATTATACACGTATTGATGTACTGTTCATTACAGGTGCGGACGTTGTTCGTGAGCGGTCTGCCCATGGACGCTAAACCCAGAGAACTGTACCTTCTCTTCAGAGCTTACGAGGTGAGTCTCCCGTCTCTTGTGTTCATGTTAGGTCTTCCTCAGTCTTGGTACATACTTCACACTGATACTATTACATCAGTCTACTGGTTAGTATGATCACAAACCTGTGTGTTCATCTGAATGTTGATCAGTATTCATCGCGGTAAGTTCAACTCTTCTTGTTCATCAACATGTGTTCTAGCAAGTGTTGATGGCCATGCTGTCTTCGTTGATGATGATTCCTCGACGTGTTCACTCCGGTGTTGTCAAGAGTGCATTGTTAAATGTGTAATGATAGTGTAATGATGTAGCCACGGCCTCAACAGTGTGGGGGCTGGCAGACTGAAACCCTTGCGTTTGACCCTCGCTCTGGGAGAACGCGCGCGCGCGTTCTCCCATCCTGCGATTACCTCATCTATAATTCATCTGGGACCGGCCGCCACCGCTGCTGCCTCTTTATATATAGCTGGCTGGAGGCTGGCGCCATCTGTCGGCCCACATCTGCACTACCAACACACATACATGCTCACTTTGGCGCTATATAAACCAAATCAGATCGCACATTAAACGACCAGTCAGGCGATATCAGTTGTAGTCTTAATGGCTGTTCAAGACTTGCTGGACTACTTGGTAGCAAAGTTGAGAGGAAGAACTGGTAATAGGTATGATCTGGGTGGGGAACAGCTTGGCTAAAGCAGACCTGGGTTGGAGCATGTTAGGCCGAGGCGAGGGTTCTCAGAGGCGAGGGTTCTCAGAGGCGAGGGTTCTCAGAGGCGGACCTCGAAGGGGCGGTGGTGGCAGCAGGTGAACCTCAGGTGGGCGTGGGAAGCAACACCTGGCTACGGCAGTTGTGTCGGCGTGAACACCGTCCGCCCACTTCTTGCCCTGGAATATTACTCCCGCTCCCGCTGTTTATTGCACTGGAAAATATACACTGGTGGAATTGGTTGTGGTGGTTGTGGTAGGTGTGGGCAGTGGTGGGTGTTGGCTGGTTGGTGAGGGTGTAAGGTGGTGGCGGCGGCTGAGCTGCTTCGTAGCAGCATGGTGGGTGGATTAGCTATAGTGGTAGCTGCCTTGGTGGACGAGACTTAGGCCCTCTACTGTTGTGACAGTGCCTGGTGGAAGTTGGTGGTGAGAACAACCAGAGCAGTAGTACAGCGGCGTTACCAGCTTCAACTCAAGGAGAGACTAAGGGTTACATAACGTGTGAAGGGATGTTAGTTGTGCTTAAGTCTCTTGGAACCTGTTGATGAGCTCGTCACACTTCAGTGTCACTTTGTGGGAGTGCCACATTTTGTACCATTGTAAAATAAATGGTACAAAGCGTGAACGTTTGTGGATGCAACGATCCATTTGTGTACGTTGTGGCAGTGGCTGGTGTACGACGGAACCTTTGTGGGGGGGGGGGGGGCAAGCGTCTGGCTACGGCACCCGTCCACACCCCCACACTGTCTAGTGTTGTGTGTACTTTGTGCCTCGTGTTGACGATGTGTGTACGCCTGCGTGCAGTGTGTGTGTGTGTGTGTGTGTGTGTGTGTGTGTGTGTGTGTGTGTGTGTGTGTGTGTGTGTGTGTGTGTGTGTGTGTGTGTGTGTGTGTGTGTGGGGTCGCCCGCTCATAGGTCAAGTTATGGTAATTACGTCAGGAAGTGAGCGTGTGTCTGGTCCCCGTATCATTCATGCACATCATTATTACTGTCAGTATGTAATGGCTTTGTTTTTCTCCTCAGGGCTACGAAGGGTCGCTGCTCAAGGTCACCAGCAAGAACGGCAAAACTGCTTCGGTAAGTAGAGCTGTGACTGTGTTGGTGTGTACGCCAGTAGACGTATGGGAGGGAGGGAGGTGGTGGCAGGTGTTCCTACCTACTGGGTTATATTGCCTCGTGACTTAGCAGGTATTGGAGTTACTCTGGCATTGAGTCTATATGGCCGGGGTAGGTGTTGGTGTAGCTGCTAGAGCGTGTATCTAGCACGGATAGGAGCATAAGGCAGCGCTAGTGAGAGCCCCGCTACGGTCTGGTGTGCACTTATGGAGACGTTGGTGCTGTTGCAACCCGTTCTCGCACTTAGTCAATATCTTGCTTATGAATAAGTACATGGGTGACATGCTAATTTATTGTGAATATTTGAGTGCTCCAGCACACCCCGTGTGGCCGCCTGCCCCGCCCTCAAACAATGGGCATGAAGTGAAGAGGTTCACACGCACAGGATGACCTGCCAGCAGTTCTCGGGGCTCGATTGGCGTCCCTTGAGTAAATCGCACATCTGCAAATGTGCCCATTCCTTCCACCCGTCCCATCCCAAATCCTTATCCCTTTAAGTGCTATATAGTCGTAATGGCTTGGCGCTGTCTCCTGATACTTATTTTCCCACTCATCCCCCCCCCCCACGTACTGGAAATAAAAATAATTACTAAGAGAACTAAACATAGGCCTAAATTTAGTTAGGTTATAACTTTTCATCAAATTATAATAATAATAATTTATGTACGAGAAAACAGCAACTTTTAAAGTAGGGAAGATTAGAATTGGTGAAGGCATCTCTGGCTTCCCCAGCATCGCCGAGCATCGTCTGAGGACGAGGTCTAACGCTGAGAGATGTCTAGAAGTGTGCTAGGTAGGGATGGTGTAGGGGATAGGTGGGGCTGGGGGAGTGTCCAGGTGTAGGGGTGAGGGGGGTGTCCTAGTGAAGGTGTAGGGGAGACGGGGTGTCCTGGGGAAGGGTGTGGGGGGGGGTGTTCAGCAGAGGTACTTGAACACGATCTTGGATGTTAATTATGGAAGGCTGGGACAGGTTGTTCTCGTAATCCTCCACCTTTGTTGGTCTTTACTCCAACCCAGGAGCCGGTCGGCCGAGCGGACAGCACGCTGCACTTGTGGTTCTGGGTTCGATCCCAGGCGCCGACGAGAAACAATAGGCAGAGTTTCTTTCACCCTATGCCCCTGTTACCTAGCAGTAAAATAGGTACCTGGGTGTTAGTCAGCTGTCACGGGCTGCTTCCTGGGGGTGGAAGCCTGGTCGAGGACCGGGCCGCGGGGACACTAAAGCCCCGAAATCATCTCAAGATAACCTCAAGATAACCTGCATTGGCAAGACACACACCATCAAATTAGAACTAACGCAATTTAAAGGATAACTAACAAACTAATTAATCAATGAAGTTATATAAATTTCTAGTCCGAGTAATTTCTATAGACTTGGATGAGTTTGGGTCCTGCTCTCCCACAACACCTGTCCAACCACTTGGGCTGGACGGTAGAGCGACGGTCTCGCTTCATGCAGGTCGGCGTTCACTCCCCGACCGTCCAAGTGGTTGGACACTATTCCTTCCCCCCCCCCCCCCCGTCCCATCCCAAATCCTTATTCTGATCCCTTCCCAGTGCTATATAGTCATGGTTTGGCGCTTTCCCGACAATTCCCTTCCCTTCCCTTCCCACAACACCTAGTTCTTGTGACGGATCTCAGTTCAACTAGATTTTAAATGTTGACAACGCCCTCTCGTTGTTAGGGTATTATTAATCATACCCAACTGTGGGTTGTTCCTTCTCTGTTGACAATGTCCCCAGCTCGCTCCATCTTAGTTCACTTGATCTAATATTTAATCAAATTTCGGATTAGGTTCCTCTACACCCCATGTTCCTCTACACCCCATGTTCCTCGACACCCCATGTTCCTCTACACCCCATGTTCCTCTACACCCCATGTTCCTCTACACACCATGTGCCTCTACACCCCATGTTCCTCTACACCCCATGTTCCTCTACACCCCATGTTCCTCTACACACCATGTGCCTCTACACCCCATGTTCCTCTACACCCCATGTTCCTCTACACCCCATGTTCCTCTACACCCCATGTTCCTCTACACCCCATGTTCCTCTACACCCCATGTTCCTCTACACCCCATGTTCCTCTACACCCCATGTTCCTCTACACCCCATGTTCCTCTACACCCCATGTTCCTCTACACCCCATGTTCCTCTACACACCATGTGCCTCTACACCCCATGTTCCTCTACACACCATGTGCCTCTACACCCCATGTTCCTCTACACCCCATGTTCCTCTACACCCCATGTTCCTCTACACCCCATGTTCCTCTACACCCCATGTTCCTCTACACCCCATGTTCCTCTACACACCATGTTCCTCTACACACCATGTGCCTCTACACCCCATGTTCCTCTACACACCATGTGCCTCTACACCCCATGTTCCTCTACACCCCATGTTCCTCTACACCCCATGTTCCTCTACACCCCATGTTCCTCTACACCCCATGTTCCTCTACACACCATGTGCCTCTACACCCCATGTTCCTCTACACACCATGTGCCTCTACACCCCATGTTCCTCTACACCCCATGTTCCTCTACACACCATGTTCCTCTACACACCATGTTCCTCGACACCCCATGTTCCTCTACACCCCATGTTCCTCTACACCCCATGTTCCTCTACACCCCATGTGCCTCTACACCCCATGTTCCTCTACACCCCATGTTCCTCGACACACCATGTGCCTCTACACCCCATGTTCCTCTACACCCCATGTTCCTCTACACCCCATGTTCCTCTACACCCCATGTTCCTCTACACCCCATGTGCCTCTACACCCCATGTTCCTCTACACCCCATGTTCCTCGACACACCATGTGCCTCTACACCCCATGTTCCTCTACACCCCATGTTCCTCTACACCCCATGTTCCTCTACACCCCATGTTCCTCTACACCCCATGTTCCTCTACACCCCATGTTCCTCTACACCCCATGTTCCTCGACACACCATGTGCCTCTACACCCCATGTTCCTCTACACACCATGTTCCTCTACACCCCATGTTCCTCTACACCCCATGTTCCTCTACACCCCATGTTCCTCTACACACCATGTTCCTCTACACCCCATGTTCCTCTACACCCCATGTTCCTCTACACCCCATGTTCCTCTACACCCCATGTTCCTCTACACCCCATGTTCCTCTACACCCCATGTTCCTCTACACCCCATGTTCCTCTACACCCCATGTTCCTCTACACCCCATGTTCCTCTACACACCCCATGTTCCTCTACACCCCATGTGCCTCTACACCCCATGTTCCTCTACACCCCATGTTCCTCTACACCCCATGTTCCTCTACACACCATGTTCCTCTACACCCCATGTGCCTCTACACCCCATGTTCCTCTACACACCATGTTCCTCTACACCCCATGTTCCTCTACACCCCATGTGCCTCTACACCCCATGTGCCTCTACACCCCATGTTCCTCTACACACCATGTTCCTCTACACCCCATGTTCCTCTACACCCCATGTGCCTCTGTAGCCTAATGAGTGCCTCGAGGCACAATATAAAACGCTTGGCTAAAGTCTCTTATCTAAAATATTTTAATATTTTCCACTATCTCCTGCTTTAATGATGAGGCACAATTACTAACTTTTGTAATCCTTAAAAAAGCTAAACTGTGAATCCTACAATAACTGGGTGTTTAAATGTTCACAAAAGGCATTTGCTATTATATATTAGATCAAATTTCTCACAATCGACGTCAACCAAGTTGGATAGTCAACCCGTTCTCAGACAAGGTCCATTCCATCCAGCGGTCGACCCTAAAAACGCATTCATAGATTTAGCATGCTGTTCATTCAAAATAGATTTTTTTTTTAATATATCAATTGTTATATTAATTATACCGTATGACCCACATAAAGCATATCGTGCATATTTAAGCACTGGTTAGGTTAGGTGTTTAGGTTCTGTTGGCGATTATTTTTAGTACGTGGGTGAAGCATTTACAGCGTTGTGGTTGGAACACAAGTCGTCAGTGAAGCACTTGTTCCGGAAGTGTTCGAACGAAATCAGTTGAGTCGTGTGTAAATCGTTTTTCATTCATAAACGGGGGGTTTGGCGGGTGCATGGAATGGACTGTGTTTGAGGACGGATTGGGAGAGTTGAGTGCTCAGCCCGTCCTTCAAACACACCCAAAAGTGATTCCACTTTTCCCTCCGTTCGTGTGTTTGAGGTGCGTATCTTGGAGTCTGGTAGTGGGGGGGGGGGCGGGGGCTAGTGGTGGTGGTTGTCGGGGGTGGAGGCTAGTGGTGGTTGAAATTCAGGAAAGAAAGATGGTGATTGAGGGAAGGGATGGTTAGTGGTGGTGGTTGAGGAAAGGGGTGAGGGTAGTGATGGTTGAGGAAAGAGAGGGGTGATGGTGGTTGAGGGAGGGGAGGGTAGTGGTGTTGGGGCGAGCATAGCGTGCTGGAGGATAGTTACCGTGGTTCAGGACGAGGGGGGGGGAGACGGAAGGGGAACACCTGGTTTTCCCTCAGTGGTGGTAGGTGAAGCCTGGAGTAAAAAATTGTTGTGGTGACGATAGTGGTAGTTGTGGTGGCGATAGTGGTAGTTGTGGTGGTGGAAGGAGACCAATGTGGAAGCACCATCACCTCGCCTTGTATAAGATACTATCCATGTCTTGGGGTTAATGACTAAGGTAATTTTAATGACTCTCCTCCCCCCCCCCCCACCCCCACCCTTGCCTGTCCTGCTTCACCTACTTCACAGCTTCTTTCGTAAAAAAAAAAAAGAATAAAGTTACCTAGTTTGAGAAGTTGTTCTAGAATGTCTTCGGCCAGTTTGAGGCGCGGATATCCTTATTCCATTAAAGTTGTGGAGTGGGACGGTTATCAGTTGAGTGTGGTTGTTGCTGGAGCCATACTGGTTATCTTGAGGTTATCTTGAGATGATTTCGGGGCTTTAGTGTCCCCGCGGCCCGGTCCTCGACCAGGCCTCCACCCCCAGGAAGCAGCCCGTGACAGCTGACTAACACCCAGGTACCTCTTTTACTGCTAGGTAACAGGGGCATAGGGTGAAAGAAACTCTGCCCATTGTTTCTCGCCGGCGCCTGGGATCGAACCCAGGACCACAGGATCACAAGTCCAGCGTGCTGTCCGCTCGGCCGACCGGCTTCCTGGTGGCGTTAGTGGCTGCCTCTGTGGCTGGATTTAGCAAGTATAATAAATTACAAGATAACGGTGGTGAGAACAGCATTTGGGATATACATGGAGACCGCCCCCTTGTCAGCGTGTCAGGTGTGCGAGCCACATATCACTCACGTGTGGGTGGGGCGCCCACATGTACCAGCCACACCTGTAAAGATTGGCCAAGTGGTCTTGGAGAGATGTACACAGTTAAATTTGCGAGAACGGGTTGCACAGTTTGACTGTTGTAGGGGAGGAAGGGGGGCCATGCCTCTTCCCCCCCCCCCTGTGTGGCGAGTTAGTGTTACCCCGCTGGTAACGTGGCCTCGTGACCCCACCAGTGACCCCACCAGTGACGTGCCCATATCCCTGGCGTCCACCCTAACAGGTGGTGGCTGCTAGCGTCACCCTTCACTTGTTCCCTCCATCAATTCCTCTATGTCCTGTATGTTATGTATTGTTGTGAAGTAGTTCAGATACTTAGTCGTTAGTGGCTACCGCTTATGAGTAATTCACCTCGATATTGGCACTTTCTGAAGTTCCATATTTTTTAAGTAATGAAGATTTAAATGACCGAGTTTATTATTTCCCCCTTGTCACCCCCCCCCACCCTTCCTGGAACGCCCCCCCCCCCTAGACCCCCGTCACTTCAAATCGCCCCCCCTCCGCTCGTCCTCCCCCCCCCAGTAACACCCGCCCCTCCCTCCCTCCCTCTGCACTTTTATACCATAATTTAATAAATTATAATATTAATAATAGTTTTGGCCATACGGAGTGTGAAGGTGTATGTAATTGTGTGGGGGCAGGAGCCTGGGGAGGAGGGCTGTCAGGGGCATTAACCATGATGGTAGTGTAGTGTGGGCAGTAGGGAGGGGGCAGGGGGGGCAGGGAGGCAGGGGGGGGCTGGGAAGCCAAGCTAAATGTGATGTTGTGTGTTTCCAGCCTGTGGGCTTCGTCACGTTCAGCACGCGAGCAGGAGCCGAGGCCGCCAAGCAGGACCTGCAGGTAAGTGCCATCCCCCACCACACCCTCTTGTCCCCACCACGCCCACCCTACACACCCCCGCCACGCCCACCCCTCGTGCTGAGGGCTGGGTGTGGGGGTGGGGGTGTGTGTTAGGGGGTGTAGTGTGGCGAGCAGGTCACCCCTTGCTCAAGGGGTGACTGGCTGCCACCAGCAAGGGCTCACTACATCATCCTTACGCCAACAGTTATGCTAATTATGCTATAATCACTAGTAATATTATTTTGTGGGGAAGTGTACAATGGGGCTGTGTGTGTGTGTGTGTGTGTGTGTGTGTGTGTGTGTGTGTGTGTGTGTGTGTGTGTGTGTGTGTGTGTGGAGGGGGGTGCATGTGTGGGGTGGGGGTGAGGACTGGTGGAGGAGAGGGCATGCCTCGTCGTGCCTGGGTTACTGCTCCCGCTGCCACCACCACTTACCCGCACCCTACACTCACCTGCTCGCTAAATTGCGGTTAGGGACGGCCCGCGCCAGATAGATTGCGGTTAAGGTGGTCTCTGGTGAGCAGTGGCCCATTTTATTGGTGCCGCAGTTTTTGTAGGTCGAGCCTGGCACTCGAGCCGCAGAACCTTCCAGAACGGGCGTGGCACTAGTGCTGTGGAATGTTCGAAAAGTTATGGTGGAGGGCACGGGACCATCTTGGCCCTCCACTGACAGTTACAACCATGCTTGAAGGGGTAGTGTGTGAGGGGCCAGGTGGAGGGATGGTTAGGGCCTGCAGGTAGACAGGTCGGAGGAGGGTAGGGTGGGAGAGGGATAGTAGGTCGTCCAGGAGTGGCTAGGGTCAAGTTTGGCAGTGGGCGGCTGGTGGGAGATGAACCATTGTGTGTAGGAGGTGAGGACGGTGGGGTGGGGGTACGGAGTGTGTACAGAGAGTGTACAACAGTTGGAAGAGGTGTATCAGAGTACTCTGTGGGCTCACTTGTAAGTGTTCAGAAGGTCTAGCAATAGTTCCCTATCTCCGCCTGTCTCCCCGACAGGTAATGTAACACTTTTCATATCTCATGTTTCTCTTTGTACTTCATTTTGAATCTGCTTATATAATTCACCTCGGTCATCTCTCCTAACAACCCGTTCCATTTCCTACAGTCATAAGTCTTCCAGGTTTGGCGTCTTCTCTTGATAATTACTGGAGATAAAATATTTTATCTTAAGGTCTCTTTGGGTCGTGTATCGAGCTTCCAGTCGAGTCTTCTGGGTGTTCATTTTGAATATTGATTCATTGTCCAGCTTGTGAGTTAGCGTTGATACGGTGTGCGTCATGACGGCTCCCCGGGTCGCCTCAACGTGTTCAGTGTTTCCTCCGTCTTTCCCTGGCGTTACCTCACCTCTTCCACAAGAGTAATCGCAGAGCTTTTTAATTTTCTCAAGACACCGGTGCTACTTCCTCAATAGCTGGCTTTACAAGATTGTTGCATATAGCAGTGTAAAGAGGTCGGGTTTTGCCAATTTATCTTATGATGCCCACGTTATTTTCTTTGAGATTCCTCGGACCACAAGTTTATAATTATATTCAAAACTCGGTTTGTGGTCTTCCTGCCTAGATCTTGTCGTGGTCTTCCCGACCTCTTGTCGTAACTAATATATTGCTCGGTGTCAATGCGTAAGCTGTGTTCCTCCAGGTAGCTGCCCTTGCAAGTGCCTCTAATGTTTAGTACTTCACATACTGGTGTTTGTGTACCAGTCATATTTTTAGTCCCATTACCTCTCTTCACTCCTCCTTCCTTGTGTGGCCACGCACAAGTTTTGGGTGTATGCTTTCCCTGGAGGCAATGTCATTTACACCTTGCTTCTCTGCCACAAAAACTCAAGAATTCATTCCTTGTAGATGTTGTGGTCATCATCTCTCTCCTTCCCATATACTCTTGCTGCTCCTATATACTTCAAAGCATCTCCTAACCGACCATTGGCTGATTTCATACTCAACGCTTCAGTCCTTTAGGAGGTATTGCTCACTGTGCCATAACTTTCTTTGGCATATTAACTTCAAGAGTTCTTTACTAGTGGGTTCGCTGTAGGAATTGTGACTATTTGGTAGTTCTCTTTGTAGTAAACTCTTTCTTCACGCCCAAACTTCGTGACCGCGGGTAGCTGATGACCTCCCATATTTAGAGGTTAGTATGCTGTGTTTACCTTCTCCTGGTTGCTAGGCTGGGTGTCCCTCTCCGTGGTTGCTAGGTGTGGTGTACCAGAGAGTCTGGCGTGATTGAACACTTACAGATCACCATAATATTGCCTGCCTGACTTTTGCATAACAATGGTATCGTGCCTGGCTGGAGGGTTCTCGTCTCATGTCCTCTAAGGTGTCAGGAAGTACCTCTCGGCTGTCTTTATTAGCTGTGGCCTCAGTCTTCTCCCTCGTCACGTTCAGTGTTCCCAGTACTGTATATTCTTCAGTGATTTAGTTCTCCCATGTCAAGCAGTTTTAATGTAATTTTATAGTTTTTTTTTGTCTTTAGACGGAAGGATTCTTATGGTGGGTGTTTCTAATATGTGTGGGAGTGTGGTAGTGTGTGGGAGTACTGCTCACTCCTCCTTGCACGGCTTAAACTTGCTTCATCCAAGTTCGTTTGACCAGCAGTGCCTTACACTTCCCTCCTTTGTCTTTCTCTTACTATCTGGTATTCCTTAATAAAGCCCCCATGACGTTAGTCATTATTCTAGTTATCTTAGTCCCCCCCCCCTTCTCTTGCTACAGTGGTTGGTTGTCTTGTTGTGGTGCCTCAGCCATGGTCACCTCTTCATTTGTGTACCAAACATTGAGGCTCCGTCTACACTGTCTTGGTAGTCCTTCACCGTTGTCTTTGGCGAGACAGGTGGTGGTTATTGGGTATACCCAGAGTATGATGGCGTCTACTGGTGGGCGGGGGCGTGGGTGCGTGTCAGTGTCAGTGTGTCTGTGTACTCACCTAATTGTGCTTGCGGGGGTTGAGCTTTGGCTCTTTGGTCCCGCCTCTCAACTGTCAATCAACTGGTGTATGTGTGTCTGTGCGTGTGTCAGTGTGTCAGTGTGTCAGTGTGTCAGTGTGTGTGTGTGTGTGTGTGTGTGTGTGTGTGTGTGTGTGTGTGTGTGTGTGTGTGTGTGTGTGTGTGTGTGTGTGTGTGTGTGTGTGTGTGTGTGTGTGTCAGTGTGTGTGTGGGGGGGGGGAAGGGAGGGTCAGGGGGGGATGTGTGGTGAGGGAAGTGGGGGTAAAGTTGAGTAGTACTGCGAGACAAGAGGTAGGCAAGTGTGGGCGCTCCTGGTGACTGGAAGTGTGCGTGGCACCATCGGCACTACAACACTGTGTGGTGGCACCGTTCTCCAGCCCCCCCCCTCAACCCCCCACACCTGCCAGTGCCACGCCTGCTCCTGGCTCACCTGGTGTGGTATTGTGGGTGTTGTGAAGATGCGACACACCCACCCACCCTCACGCCTCCTCTCCGCCATGAGTGGGTGTGTGAAGAGTGTTGTGATGAGCCTACAGGTGTGGCTTACAGTGTTAAGTGAGCCACACCCTTCCTAGAGAGCTGCACGGCCACATCTTGCTCCACACCGTCGGCGCCACTACCCCTCCCCATATTCTCTTATCTGTCTCTCGCTATTAGTAAAGCAACTAGTACTAGTTAAGTCACCGTCCCTTAGTTGTACTGCCCCTTGCAGCACCCAGGGGGTGAGCGGGTGAGTGTCTCCCTCTCACATGCCCCAAGCATGACTTCCCACTCCCCCCTCTCATCCCAGCTTGCCGCTACCCGTGCAGGTCTCTTGGTAGGTGATGCTACGGCCTCTCTGGCCGCATTCTTGCTGCATAAGGCACATACAGTTGTAACTTGTGTTATGTCTTCTCTTCCTAGCCCCCCCCTAACACCCGCTACCACCACCACTACCACCCTCGCTACTAACCCTCCACCCTCTTATCCTGGATTCCTCTGCACAACCCCCCCTACCCTTCCCTCACCTCGTCTCCCTTCACCTTTTCCTCGCCCCCCTCCCTTACCTACCCTACCCACCCATACCTTAATCACGCGCCATTATTGGCGTCCATCTACCTCCCTTTCTCCACCTTTAAAACCCTAACCACTAAGATCTCTACATGTTTCCTCGATCATGGCCGCTTAGTTTGCATTTACTAAGCTTGAAACTACCTTAAGAGGTAGTTTTTAACCCAAGGTAAAGATTATAGACAACCTCGTGGCCCTTGGGAGATCGTAAAGTGTTTAATAAATACAAATGAAGGTGCCATGAAAGAGGAAATGTGTACAGGTGTTTTAAGGGGATACAAAAGTGGTTGATAAGCCCTGGTCCTGGTGGTGAGAGCGAGGGCCTGGCACCTTGAAGGGTCGGTGTTGGCTCCCACAGGCTCCAGGATGCTGGCCACCGGTACTTCACTGTCCCCGTGTGCCACATCTTGGCTCTCGTGGCCTTCAAAGTTGTCTAGCCACTCTGGCTTACTGCTGCTGACAACGCTACCTCCTTCACGGCCGCCTCCCACACCTCTTTCACCCCCCCCTCACACCTTATCCTCCTGACCACCCCCCTCCTCAACCCCTCACACCTTATCCTCCTGACCCCCCCTCCTCAACCCCTCACACCTTATCCTCCTGACACCATCCAGGATTCATCAGGTGGGTTACACAAATACTTACGAACCTGCACATCTGTCCTCCATCTTGGGCGGCTTTGTTTACATATATTAAGTTATGAGCTGGGCAGCGCCTAGGAGGCCGTTTATAACAATATTATTTGACTGGCAAGTTTGGAAGCTCATAACCTGTTTAATATATGTAAACAAAGCCGCCAGAGATTGAGAAAAGATGTACAGATTCGTAATAGCTTAATGAATCCTGATCCTTATCCTCCGCCTAGCTCTCCCCCCCCCCCTCCCCGCCCCTTCCTCCCCCTCCCAGTGACCCCCCCACCTTCCTTCCCATGACCTAAGCCTATGCCAGAACCCCCACCATAACCCTCTCTTCCCAAGATTACCGTCACCTGACCCCCGTCACTTGACCCCCACCTGAGCCTGACCCCCTCCCTGTGGAGCCCCCCGTGCCCCCAGGTGAGGTGTGGAGCCTGGGGGCCAGGCACAGCACACCTGTGTTAACGGGCCGGGTTTGCGGGTCTCTTGCAGCAAGGCGTGCGGTTTGACCCGGACATGCCACAGACCATCCGACTCGAGTTTGCTAAAAGTAACACCAAAGTTAGCAAGCCCAAGCAGCAGTCTCCCCCGGCGGCCGCCCCTCACCCCACGCTCGTGCACCCCTTCACAGGACGTAAGTAACACTGCATGCTCACCTGCCGCTCCCCTTCTCTCTCTCCCCCCTCCCCTCTCCAGCCCGCGCCGCACCTCACGCCACCCCTCCTGCCTCACCTCCCCCCCCTCGCTCACCCCTTATACTCTCACTCGCCCCTCCCCCTCACCTACTAATGCAGCATTCATAGTTGTGGATGGCGTGATGTTGACGGTTCGCGGGCTGCTTCTTCACCCTGTCTTCAGGGCTGCTGCCCCCCGCCCCTCCCCCGACATTCCCCGCCCACACTCGCATACCACCGCCCACCGCCACCCACTCCCCCTCCCCCAAGAGTCGTCACCCCCACGGGGTAGTTTAGCAGTAAGTATACAGCTCGTTTAATGTGGCGGTGGGCGGTATTTGTGGCGCGGGGGGAGGAGGGGGCGGGGCGCTCTTGTGTGTATGAGAGGTAACCCCCCCCCATTACCCATTAGAGGTACTCCCCCCTCTATTCGGGGTACCCCCCTCCCCCCCTAGAGGTACCAGGAGGCTGGTGAGGGCCTCCTGGATTTGGCTCACGTGTGATGCACTTGACGCACCTGTGCCCGCGCCGTCTGGAAGCCCCCCCCCTCCCCCCTCGCTCTTTTCTCTTTCTCCTTTCTTTATGTCTTTCTCCTTTCTCTCCTCTTCTTCTTCTCTTCTTCTCTCTCCTCTCTCTCTCTCTTGTCTGTCCTCTCTCTCTCCTTCTCCCACCTCCCATACTGGGCTCTACAACACTATGCCATTCCTGTCGTAAAGGGACACCTTACTGCCACAAGGCCACACACACACACACACACACACACACACACACACACACACACACACACACACACACACACACACACACACACACACACACACACACACCCCCACACCCCCCCACACCCACACACACACACACACACCCCCCCACACCCCCCCCCACACACACACACACACACACACACACACACACACACACACACACACCCCCACACCCCCCCACACCCACACACACACACACACACCCCCCCACACCCCCCCACACCCACACCCACCCACCCCCCCCTACCTACACACACACACATACACATACACATACACACACACACCTACCTACCTACATACACACACACCTACCTACCTACATACACACACACCTACACACACACCTACACCTACCTACCTCTACCTACGCTCTCTTGCGCTGTCTCCCTCCAGGTGGCCCATAGTATAATGTGGAGTAGGACTCCTCTGCCGAAGGTCGTCCTCCCAGCTATTCTCTTGTTCTGCTCCTCTAATAATTACCATAAGGCAGGCCATATATTTCTCTCAATGTCATTACCTCAATGTCTCCTGTGTAATTTGATAATTCAAAACATTGGTTTATGTATCTTAATGTTTATGTAAACTGTAAGTTGAGATTAAGGTGTAGGTGTTGTGTGTATGGAGGAGTGGCTTGTTACACTGCTCCTTACTTACAGAGGTTCCAATTTGAGTACATGTACTACCGGAGTGAGTAGTACTGCTTGTAATGATAGTGTCGAGTATTACATTGTCCTCAGCCTTGTGCTGCTGTCTTGTCACTATATTCTTGCTCTCTGGTAATGTTGTGTGTTGCTTCTGTTCTTACTCTCTCATGTTACTCTTCCCTTGTCTTTATTCTCTCATATTCTTCACCCGCGGCTTTATCTTCGTCCTTCCTATCTTCTTCGTTTTCATATTTTATCCAAATAGTTATTAATTTAATATTACAGTATTATTAATTTCTAACAAATATAATACACACATCTATATGTATATATTTGTATACTTGGGCAGCGAGGCCGTTCTTTAAACGTGTTAAATATGACCACAATACTGGCCTTGGTGACTCTAGTGTGAGGTGGCTACCCTCTTGTTGTCTTCAGGGCTCTTCTTAATACTCTTAGAAGCGTGAAAACCTTACACTATAAGGTGTGTGTGTCTGTGTCTGTCTGGAAGTTACCAGTCTTCGCCTTCACTTACAGCAAGGTTGTACACACTAGGGTCAACTCTACGCGGTCTACCACCTCTTCTCACTCATCATCAGCTAAAAATTAATGCAATTTAGTTTCAATGTTTAAATAAAATTAGTTGTTTTGTACAATGAAGACCAAAAAGGTGTGCTTTTGCTACAGTAATGTATGGTAGAGAAAGTGCTGGTTGCCTCATTTTAACTGGTGTACTACCTGTGTGCTGCACCAGTGTGTGTGTCGTCTAACAATGGTTGGTTGTGTTTGAACATGTGTGCGTGTTTGTCTTCCAAACATGATGTACATAAAGATCTACACGGTTGTTAATGTAGGCTCTGATAGAGATGCTGAGGGACGAAAGTAGTTTGCATCAACAGAGGTGCTGTAGATACGCTTAATGAATTGAAAAAAATAAAATAAAAGAAAGGAAAAAACTTTAATTAAAATGCGAAAAGCCTTCAGTATGCATTCTTGGCGAGCCGAGCAAGTGTGTAGTTGCTCTCCTTCTGTTACAAAGGTCACCCTTACTAATGCACACCTGGCACAAACCACATGTATATGTTGTAAATGAAACTACTACAATTATATAATGTGTGGTGCTTGTATAATATGCAGTCTAACCCACGTATGGAGCGACATAAACTATGACACATCACAGCCTACAACACCCAGCCTCGGCCACAACTGTGCCAACTATGAACAAACTCGCATGTTTCCAACCACATGATACAAGTCTCTTCCATTTTCATTATAAACATTTGTTTCACTTTGAACCGAGTCATCAGTCTATTTCCAACCCGTTCTCGCACTTTCGTATAGTCAATATTGACTTATTAAATACGTGCATATGTGACATACTAATTTATTGTGAATATTTTAGTTTACCTTGAAAAGCTTCATAGAAAACACCGACCTTACCTAACCTTCTTAGTATGTTAAGATAAGCATCTTATTGCTTCGTAATTACAATTATTACTTAACCTATTATAGGTATAGGTTAAGTAATAATTGTAATTACGAAGCAATAAGATGCTTATATTAACATACTAAGAAGGTTAGGTAAGGTCGGTGTTTTCTATGAAGCTTTTCAAGGTAAACTAAAATATTCACAATAAATTTGTCACATATGCACGTATTTAATAAGTCAATATTGACTAAGAAAGTGCGAGAACGGGTTGCTATTTCAGGCCCTGGTTTGAGGAACCAAGTGATGGTTGAGGCTCAAC